ACAGGGAAGATGCGTGCTCTTTAAAATTTTAACTTTTATTTCCTTGCTGGTGCTTAACCATAAATGTTTAATTTTGTTCTATCTTTACATTGCTATGGCCATCACCCTTGTGACTGTTGAACAGTCTTCATTGCTGTTTAAAATGGAGTTTAGATATTCAAAGTTTGTGACATTTTCAATTTCTTCATCCTCTATTGTTATTTTTGGTGACAGCTTTGTCTGCGGACATTATTTCTGTTACTTTTTAATAATCATATTTAAAAAAAAAGTAGGTTAGTTAGTCGAGGTTTCAACATCACCGCAATTGGGTTTCCCCATATTTGCTCCGTTCCTGTGCCAGTGAGAATCAAATGAAACGTCCCTCACTGTAGCATATGAAAAACTGATGAATAAACAACTAGTTCCGAAACAATACAGAAACATGTGCAAATTTATTTTGGGAAAAAAAAAGAATTAATATATCAGAATCTCGCTCCTTGAAGTCTGTGAAAAACCAACAAGGAACCTCAGGTCTTGGGAATAGAGCTGGCAATTAGCCTCTATTTGTCCAGCAGTTAATTTGGGGATAACTGACAAAGTGAAACAACATGAGACAACTGAAGCTTCACTAGGCAGGAGCTGCTGACAGTATCATAAAACTTTATTCTGATTCAGCATGCTACAAAATGGCACTTGGAAACACACAAACAGTAGTACTCAATGTTACACTTCACTTTTGGAAACACACAGACAGCAGTACTCAATGTTACACTTCACATTTAGAAACACACAGACAGTAGTACTCAAAGTTACACTTCACTTTTGGAAACACACAGACAGTAGTACTCAATGTTACTGACAGACACAACTTCACTTTTGGATACTCACAGACAGTAGTACTCAATGTTAAACTTCACTTTTGGAAACACACAGACAGTAGTACTCAATGTTACTGACAGACACAACTTCACTTTTGGATACTCACAGACAGTAGTACTCAATGTTACACTTCACTTTTGGAAACACACAGACAGTAGTACTTAATGTTACTGACAGACACAACTTCACTTTTGGATACTCACAGACAGTAGTACTCAATGTTACACTTCACTTTTGGAAACACACAGACAGTAGTACTCAATGTTACTGACAGAAACAACTTCACTTTTGGATACACACAGACAGTAGTACTCAATGTTACACTTCACTTTTGGAAACACACAGACAGTAGTGCTCAATGTTACTGACAGAAACAACTTCACTTTTGGATACACACAGACAGTAGTACTCAATGTTACACTTCACTTTTGGAAACACACAGACAGTAGTACTCAATGTTACACTTCATTTTTGGAAACACACATACAGTATTAATGTTACTGACAGACACAACTTCACCTTTACTAGACATCTTGGGTTTGCATCCACACTTAGGACATAAGTGACCATAGTTCTCAAGCTGACCGATGCTAAAACTAGTACCAGGAAATGTCATGGGAAGTAAAGGTGGCCAGTATGATGTTGACCGCAGAAACCACTGAATGCTACATGCTCTATACAAAATAGAAACAATGGAGGGGGGAGAACCCTTAAGGCCACATCAGACAACATAAAATATAAAGCTAAATTTGCCGTGTCAGAAATTGAACCTGTTACCTCCAAACACTATGAAAGCAAATGTACTTATATCCACGACTAACTAGGCACCCTTACTACAGTGTCTTTACTAGTGTCTATCGTACAGCTTGAAATCCGCAACTAAGGAATACGGACAGAATTCGTCTCAAATCATTGAAATGGCACCATAGGTTACAGAAATGTATATTAACCAAGCATAGGTTGAAAAACAAACACAACAACAATTAGAAACACATCAGACCGTAATGATGTGTCTGGAATTCTCTCTACTTCTTTCTATGAGTGCTGATCAATATATTGTCTGGTTGTTTATTATTTGTATACAAACTGTGAGTCTAGCATCAAATGACCCTCGGTCACTGGTGTGAAAAAGTCCGCTTCCTGCTTCAGTGGGTTCAGTTCATAAAAACAACAAAAAGCATGTTATTCACCATAAGGGTATGATATACTGTTTGTCCTAGGCCAAAGTCCGGAACTGACATGGTGTAGCGGGTAGACACTCAAATGAGATCTGAATGTCACAGGTTCAAAACTGGACACCACTAGGATTTTCTTTGTTTGTAAATGACCATGGCTGCCAGGTCAACGCAAAATTAAATGGGTACCAAGTAAAAAAGACTTGGGAAGTAAAGGTAGCCATCATGATGCTAACCAAGTCAGCCGCCAAGTGCCCAATAATCTGTAAAATCTAGGTATAGTCCTAAATGCCCATTATTGCTGAAGACATAGAGGCCTCATTGGATGGCGGAGAATGCTCATGTTCTCTTCTTCTCTTGAGAGCTGATAAGCATTATGTGGCTTCTATGGACCAGCTAGATGTGGAGCACCACCTGTGACCTGGGAAACAAAGATGACCACACAACAATGAGACTGTAATGTCCTATGAAACTAACCAGGAAGGCTAACCTGGTAAACTAATGCCCCCAGAAGTCAGATTTATCGGCGGAAAGAAGCAAACATCGCAGCCATGCTATAAACCGGCACAACACAATTGCATCTTTGGATCAGAGCAGAAAAAGAAGAAGATGCACTTATTTTCCAAAACTAGAGGATCTAAACAAAAGTGTGCGTCATATATGGGTGTATATTTAATTACTGCAGACATTTTTAAATCAATAAATTGCGCACACCAATTAATTTGTGTATTACATGTTTCAAGCGCCATGTAACCGTTAGTTTAGAATATCGACGCTATATACTGGTGTTTCAATAACTGATCTCAACTTAATGATGTTAACTACGGAAGAACAAGTATTTTTAGTTCAGAATTTGTTCCTTAACAGTGGCAGGATTTCAAATCAGGTTGTTAAAAAATGTATGATGTCATTTCCTGATGCCTCATCCTAATACTGCTAGCAATTCAACCAGTAGAATCGATTGTGAATAGAACTGTAATGTGCAAAACTGTACCCAAAATAAGACACACTATAGCAGTATATGTTGCATTAACTCCACAGATGGTAATTAGCAAGGTAAGTAGCAATTTATGTGCTTGTCTTCACGCTCAATGTTTCACACTTGTTACATTATGTTATGCTTGCCCCCATATGAAGAATAAAACAGGAATTCAATAACTATGTGATAATATATTTTGTTCTCAAAATTTCCAGTCACAAAATCACGGTGAACCTTATACATGGGATCGTCTTATACTTGGGGAAATATGGTACTTTTCCTGCAACTGCACAATTTTCATCTGCGTCTCTATGTCCCGGAGTGATTTTCTCAAAGCAGATTTACCGCTTATGTGACTCTAGCAAAATGCCAACAATATGTACGTCTGCAGATCGAAGGATGAAGGTTCAAAACTGGTGCCAGATTTTTTTCAAACCTGACTTTGGTTTCCAGGTCATCCCAGCTTTAAATGGGTACCAGGTGTAGTACTGGGAAGTAAAAGCGGCTAATGTGACGCTTACCATATACACCATCGAGGGCCAATCGGTCTTTAAAAATATGAGACTAGCCTCACATATCTGATGTGCCACTGGCATGAAAAGGGACTGTTACTACCTTTTAAAAGGATCGGTATGCAATTATCAAAGCCAATATGCTTCCACAGGTTACTATCCACAATCAGTGTCATATCTATCAATTAGAAATGCAGTCAATCATCCTATGTTCCAGGTAACAAAAGCAATCAATCATTTCATGCATCGAGTGATTAAAGCAACCAGTCACTACATGTTCTTATTTAAATTTAAAAAGTCATAATTGTATATATAAAAATAGCACATACATATAAAGATACACTATATCAAATCACTCAACAAAGCAATACAATTTATATATCAAATATTACAATTAATCACACATTCCATGCAATAAATCAGCCATAATCAACTCAACTTTTCATACACAAAATCATTCAACAGATCTGACTTCGCATAGTTAATCATACAATGAAATCAGTCCATTCCTGCCAGATGGAGCAAGCAATCAATCAATTAGCAGATCAGTAAACATCAACTGTGATGTGCCAGATCTGACAATCAATCAATAAGTTATGTCACGTAATCAATCATTCATCTCATGTCATAGAAATCAGTCATCCTTTGACACAACCATCTGTTTACCACAGCATACAATCAATCATTTAGTCAAATAAATGGCAAATGATCTGTTTTCACAGAACGGACGGTACCCTCTGTGAAACTATAAGTGCAACTGCTAGTTTGTCGTAACTGCTGCTTCCACTGATCATGAACGGCAATTCTGGCAGCGGAACTGTTGGTGTTGGCAATTCTAAAGCTACCTTACGAATTGAATGCGTGCAGTACATGCTTCTGGTATTCCCGAGAATGCAGTCCATTAAAAAAAAAAATTTCTAACAGGGGACATAGATGGACATTTTGTTGATTTTATTTGTATAGGAACGGAGCGATTATGGAGTGACCCGTTTTCAGTTAAGTTAGAACTGCAATTAAATGATCGGTCAGATCACTCAAAGAAACGTGCCAGATCTCACAAACAATCAATCACTCAAAGAGCTATATCACACAACCAATCAGTTATCACATGTTTTAGCAGTTAGTCATCCAACGAGTCAATCACTTTATTACCACAGCCATACAATCAAACCTCATGCTATTCATTAACAAAATAAATGAATCAATCCACTGTGCCATATCCCAAAGGCTATCAGTCATTTCAAGTATTAAATTTCAACAACAACAAAACAAATAAAATACATTATAAGTCATTTCTTGTGTACAAAGCCACTGAACAACATTTTCAACAATTTCTTGGTTCCAGAAGAGAATCTTGATACCCTAGGAGGAATGCAATTGGTTTCATAAAGAGCGTAAAGTTCTGACAATGATCAGACTGTCACCTCTAGCTGTTCTGCTCCCGAGAGAGCTTCCAGACACGGGTCAGCGACAAAGTCAAAATGTCCACTCCTCGTACATGGAAACCTCACTCATCTTCCGTGCAAAATCATCATCTTCAGCTGTAGGATCTGGCACAAATAAATATAATAATTAGGTCTTTTCAATATAAAACGTATCACCTTAACTACAAAGTCCTTCTGATCTTTCTTTAGCGTTCAATGGTTGTAAACTGTGGTGGAACATCCTGGTTGTTTGTCCCCTTCTAGACATTGGCTTTGTTCCAATGTTCCAAGACTTAAAATGTTGCATGTGCATGCATTTGACAGATCTGGCTTGTTTGTGTGCAGACCGCTGGTTCCTTGCCCCTCAGGGAGATGCCGACTTGGAAGAAAACATTGATCCTAAGTTGGCCACTCCTTGTACATTGAAACCTCACTCATCTTCAGTGCAAAATCAACATCTTCAGCTATAGGATCTAGAACAAATAAATATAACAGTCTTTTCGATATAAAGCATATCACCTTAACTACAAAGTCCTTCTGATCTTTTCAGCATTCACTGGTTGTAAACTGTGGTGGAACATCCTGGTTGTTTGTCCACTTCTAGACGTTGGCCTTGTTCCAATGTTCCAAGACTTATAATGTTGCAAGCGCATCCATTTTACAGATCTGGCTTGTTTGTGTGCAGACTGCTGAGGCTTTGCCTTCAGGGAGATGCCTGACTTGGAAGGAAACATTGATCCTAAGTTGGCGTGACCCCTGAAAGGAAAGCCTGTTTCTAAGATGACCACAAAGTGGCAATAGGGCCTGACTAGTATGGGCTCTGGCCTGGTACCCCGTCATGTGTAGTTCAGCACTTCAGCATTTAACTAAAAATGAAGTAAAGCACCTTTTCCACTCCTTCAGGCTTCAGGACATATAGGGCTAGACCTATATTTTATAGACTAATTAGCAGAATCCGCAGGCAAGCAACTAACCATATCCCACTTAAAGTTAGTTGCGTATCCTTTACAGGACATTGCAGAACCAACTCCAGCATTTTTTAGCTGTTGTGGTTCTTCTAGACAAGTTTACATCCAGTAGATTGCCACTGCTTTCTGGACGGTCGGCTTCTCATTATCACAGTCGAAACCAATGCAAGGCGCAAGGCCCGCAGTTGGGATCGAACCCGGCACCCCGGCATTACGAAGCGTGTTCACAACACCCAAGCCACAGACGCCGACATTTATACCCCACTACAATGTCCGAATATCCCACTACAATCTCCAAGTCAGGCAAGTTCTGCAACAGTCTATAAGATGAGTTGCCGTGACTAAATGGTTGATGTTTGCCTCACGTTCTAAAGGTCATGGGTTCGTTCATTGACTACCCTAATCAGTTCATGAGTGCAGTTGTTACTCAAATCCCTAGTGGATCGTCACTAGAACTACAGAATTTGCACTTTGTGCAATGCCACTGGCAGCCATGTTGCTGACAAGAACCGTGTCCTGAAGCATAAAACCTGGTGCACTTAAGTCGATCGTGTATGTGATAACATCCTATATAAATGCATAGTTACAGCTGGTTAGATTTTGAAGCTGTTTTCTACAGGACTAAAACTTCCTATGACACTTGGGTAGAAGAAAGGCAAGACGGACGTATAATCACAGTACTACTGCTACAATTGGTATTGAAACTCTGCGCTGACTGCTGAAGATGGAGACAGAGCCCTTATGGAAGAGCCCCAAGTGCTGTGATGCTGGTTCTTGAACCAACAATCCAAATCAACTCATCACATACTTAGGTTATACAGGTATGACTGCAATTGACTGACTGACTTTCTACCCCACTAGGACATCACACAAGCGATAAACACCCGATGACACAAAGTGCCACTATGTGAATGAGGATCACCGTGGAGAGGTCCCAGAAACCGCATTCACACAATTGGCCATATTTATGGCCTGCCTATATATTGCGACCCCTGGCAAAAGCCAGGGTGGGGCTTCAAATGTCATCCTAAAAAGGACGAAACTGGATCTTTCATGAAAAATATGACTGTAATTACAATAGTGCTACTTGAATGTACTCACCTCTTGGTGCCCTTGTGGCATCTGTCAAGGGACTGACTGGCTGTAGCAGTGAAGGCAGGAGAGAGGAGGCTTTATTTCTGATGCTCTTGAACAAAGGGTGATGGAGAAGTTGGCTCGCAGTTGGTCTACACAAATGTGAAGAAAAACCCAACAGATAAGTTCCATGAATTCATCATGTTTTCTGAGAGAATCATGTGCGCAGTATATATAGTGTGTCCAATTGCTTTATTTTCACCCAGACATTCCCAATTTTTAGATCTTACACAGCCGTCCTGTTTATACTAAAAAAAATGGCAATTGTCCATTTTACAAACATATAGGAATTAGCTCTAGAATAGAACATACACTTATAGCCATATCTGCAAATCTAAATAGATTTCATAGTTTTAGAAAGTTCAAATGCTTGAAACGTGTTAATGGAAATTTTCTTTGCAGCATTTCTTTTTTAGTGCATAGATACATTTATTTCAGTTCGGGTTCTAAAACTATTCTCGGGCAAGTAAATTAACCAGATGCTCCTGTTTAATTTGATTTGATCTTTCCACCGTCCAGAAGGTCTTGTTTAGTTACAGTTACATTCTGCAGAGTGTGCTCAGGTGTTGTGGTCCTGTCTGACAAGCACACTGTGGGGACTGTCATCATCAATTAGCAAGTCCCTTACACAACGTCGCTCTCTTCATGGCACGCCTGAAAGTATCCTTTTCTCTAGCCAGCTCTCCAGCCCATGTGCTTTCCATGCCAGTGCATCTTCAATGTCTTGTATCTATCTTCGCGGTGGTCGACCCCTGCCTCACCTTCCACATCCTGCACCTATATTATCGTCTTTTCCAAGCCACCATGACGCTTGTTGTGGCCTAAATACTTTAACTTTTGGGACAGGATGCTGTTTATGAGCCAGTTCTCCCTGATGTTCAACTCGTTCAGAATTTCAATGTTTTTCCTCTTCCTGATCCATGGTATTCTAAGAATTTTCTATAGCATTTCATTTCAAAAGCTTCAATCTTTTTCCTCAGTGACTGAGTGAGAGTCCAAGACTCACCACTGTAAGTTGCCACAGGAAAAATGCATGATTTCAAGATTTTTACTTGAACCAATTTACTAGGGCTTTGCCATAGGTTCTTCATTGTTATTTAATCTCTGCATTGCCAATGCAAGTGGAGACAGAAATGAACACGAACTTGTAAATTGCATTGGAAAAATCGCACAAACAATCCTTACATCCTCCTCAAACACCTTACTTGGGTAAATGGTTGAAGTCAAGAAGAATAAGAAGAGGAAGAAGAAGAAGAAGAAGAAGAAGAAGAAGAAGAAGAAGAAGAAGAAGAAGAAGAAGAAGAAGAAGAAGAAGAAGAAGAAGAAGAAGAAGAAGAAGAAGAGGAAGAAGAGGAAGAAGAATAAGAAGAAGAAGAAGAAGAAGAAGAAGAAGAAGAAGAAGAAGAAGAAGAAGAAGAAGAAGAAGAAGAAGAAGAAGAAGAAAAATTGCTTACTGCCAGTTGTTTTTCTTTTCTTTTTTTTTATTTACACTTGACATACAGTCATTTTTTACAGTCACCTTATAATGACACGCAGTATTCATACACAGGAAATACACCACCTTACAACAGGAAATACAGCTATCTTACAAAGGACACACAGTCACCTCAAATGAGGATCCTTCTCCAGGCACACGGAGGTGAAGTCATGCAAGTGTGGAGAAAATGTCCTCCGAAAGAAAATGGCATCAGCTCGTTCTTGTGGGGAGCTGGATTGGTCATCTACCTCATCTATAGGACACAATTGTTGTCTAGTTATATGTAACAGGTTTGACTGTAGACTCAATGCAATTTGCGGCTATCATCCGAATAACGGTCCTAAATTATTGAGGCGGAAAATATACCCTAACAGGGCCTCAGTCACGTGTCAATTGCGCACTTCCGGGGACTATAACACCACCGCTGAATTGCGAACTTCCGCCACCGCCGAGAGTATCCCCCACACCGCATGAGTGGCGTGGATTGGTGCTAAACCAAATGGCTAAGACTCATGAGCAAATAAAATAAAGGAAGCTGCAGGAGATGTGGTAGCTGCTGCTCGTGAGTCCCAGCCATCTAGTTTAGCCCCAATCCACACCGCATGAGCAGCGTGGGGGATACTCTCAGCAATGATGGAAGTCGCCGAAAATACTCAATTTAAGACGACGGAAGTGTGCAATTGACACGTGACTGAGGCCCTGTTAGGGTATATTTTCTGCCTCGATAATTTAGGACCGTTATTCGGAGGATAGCCCAATTTGCTATTATATACGCTATTGTTTCCACAGTATAGCAATTATCAAGAATCACTTTGTGTTCCTTTTGCCCAAGCTATGAGCATTGACCATTAAGATGCAATGACAAACTTGCTTACTTATTTAGTCGATCCTCTTCTACTCTGGGGTGTCTAGGGTTGTCAGGGAGATCACCCGGCTCTTCTATCTGCAGTTTTCTTTTTAGCTTTGTTCCATTCCAGTCTTCTGTCAGTCAGGGACTGTCAGATGTTGTCTTCCCAGCGAACCCTAGGTCACCCTAATGATCTCTTGGCCTACCATGCCTGCCATGATGGCCAATTCCCTCCCATTCTGCATTTATGTCCAAACCATCATAACTGTAACCGATCCACTCGAGTTTGTAAGGCCTGGGTTTCAAGATCCTAATGTAGTGTCTGCCTGTGAACATTGTTCCTTCTTGTCACTTGGACCATCTTTCTCAGATAACTCATTTTTGAGGCCTGAAGTTGGCTGAAGCTGGCTTCTGTGAGCTATTGTAATTGCCTATGACTCACACCCATAGGTCAGGACTGGTACATAGGTATAACAGTAAACAGCCATTTTCGTCCTCTTGCCAATTTCTCTTTTGCTGAGAAACCCTGGGGTTTATGGCCTGGAAAGTTCTCTCACCAGTGCTTTTCAAGTAGCTAGCTCTGTCTTAATGCTTCTATTTCGGTCTATTACAACTCCAAGGTATTTGAACAGGTTGACCTGTTCCAGTGCATACTGTCGCATCATGATCTGGTGTTTCTTCTCCACACTTGAAATAAACCATGGTTATAGTTTTGGAGATACTGGTGGTCATCCATCTCTTCTCAAGCTCTTTCTATCAGACAAGCAAGGCAATGGCAAGCTACTGAGCATAAAACTGCCTATGAAAACCACAAACAGCCAATTTATGCTGGAGTTTGTTTGCAACATCATGTAAAGGATATGCAAATAACTCTAATTAGCACCAAAAGAGTTGATATAATTAAATGTACAAACATATAGTTAAATATTACAATAAATAGACACCCCACCCCTCCCTTTCCAAATAAAAAAAAGTACTCAACCTTCACTGATGTAAAATTCACCAACTGTAGTTGCATCGGCAAGTCTTGGTTTAGTTCCACTTAATTTCTCCAATAACATCTGGGGATCAAAAAGTGAAAGCAAGTGTCAGTTCTTGCTCTGGTAACTTTTCTGATTAGCTTTCATTGGCTGTAAACTCTGGCAGAAAGTTTTGTTTGTACATCCACTTTTGGACTTCTGTCTTGTTCCAGAACTCGAGTTTTATGTGTACACCTGTTTTATGGAGCTGGCTTACCTGTATGCAGACTGTTGGTTCTCTGCATCTCAAACAGACGAACTATGACTCTGACGGAACTTGGCTCTAGTAATTTGTGCAGACACAGTCATCCTTGCACATGACAAACGCTATACACAGGACACACACATACAGTCACATCTACACACATATTGCCACCTTTACATGTGCGTAGCTATTTTACTCAAGACACAGTTTAAACAGTCATAGTTAAGCTGTAGGGAGCTGTCGTGGTGTAGCGGCTAGATACTTGCCTGTAGATCCAAAGGTCATGGGTTCAAGTCCTGACTGAGCCAGAATTTATTCAATAATGACTTTGGCTCCGAGGTCAACTCCGCCTAAAAAATATACCAGGTTAAAACTTGGAAAGTAAAGGTGGGTGACATGATACTGACCACATCAACCACCGAGTGCCAGTTGGTCCATAAAATCTAGGTGCCTAATAGGCCTGAAGGTGTGAAAAAGGGTCTTTTATTTTACTTACTTACTTGACAGTTTAGCTGCAGTTTTTTTCAAGTGCTTTGTTTAATTCACTAAATTTTATGTACAATTAAAAAAAAACTGTTTAATCTCTTAAAACTGGAACCGACGGGGGTACAATAAAATGTGGACAAATCCTACATGTATAAAACTGCCAGAGAGTGATGTTAAAAAGAAAAGGACGATAAGGTGTGAGCTGCAAGTGATAGCAATGGACAGGACTGTTCATAAGTTGGTTGAGGGCCTATGCTCCTTTGGGGGATAAAAGGTGGCGGCAAAGGAAGAATAGGAAGAAAAAGAGAATAAAAACACACCAACAAAAACTTGTAGATGTCAGAGAACGGAGACTGGCCATTGGCCAGCTCACAGGTCAAGATTCCAATACTGTAGATGTCTGATGCACAGCTGTAGCCTGCTAGGTTCTGTGGACAGAAGATACAATCAGACATCTTCATAATGCCCAATCGGTGGTGATGTCAGATGTGACAACATGAGATTAAACATCATCTCAAGGGTATGGTCTCAGGAAGATACTAGCAATCATGACTCTCCCAATCCTGGGGTCTATGTGGCGAGATGGTCAAGTCATTTGCTATTTTCCCAAGTGCAATTTGTATGCATATCTCGGGGATCATTGCCAGAGCTACGATGGTCGTGCTTTGTCTAACGCTGGTCTGTGGAGAGACCAAGCCGTTTGGTATAAAACCTGGTGCAATGATGCTGGTTCTCTCACCTTTAACCTTTTTTTAATAACTCTCTAATCCTTTCTGTCATCTGAACAACAGTAAATAGAGTGGCGGCTGTCTTCTCTGTTCCGTTCTGCCAAGTGCTGATTACCACCATCCCACTTCAGACATATTCAAATGTGTTCTAGGCTTCTTTGTAAGAAATCTGTCAGTGCGTACGACTGAACCAGTTCAGTGCTGACTGATGAGCCCACTTGTATGCTGTTATTTACTGAATCACTGATTAGAGTCAATTGGAAGAAAGCAAAGACAGAAGAACCTCACCTAACCACACACTGAAGCAGTGACAATACCACTGGTAGAGAAGAGTGAATCCAACCACGGACCAGTCTAAAAACTCCACCTAATCACTGATTAACCACTGACAAAATAAAGATTAAAGACCTGACTTAATTACTGACTGAGCCACTGACTGAACTACTGACAAAAAACTGACTGAAAACCTGACTTAAACTCCTGAATGAATTACTGATGAATGCAATGGACCAAGAAAAAGAAATATTGACACCCTAAAAAGATCTGAACATCAAGGAAGATTGGCTAGTAAATAGCATCTTCTCTCAGAAAATCAAACATTCTGGCCATATCAAACACCAGGCAAGAATAGCAGCAAAAGACAGGATACCAGGAAAGACAGGCAGTACCGACCAACACGAAGATGGGCAATGGATATAAATTAAACCGTGGGTAAGAAAGTGTATGAGGTAGGAAATCTGGTGGAAGAAACAGATTTTTTCGGACAGGTCGTGATAAGAGAACATTCTGCAAAGGACCTGCTATATGATGATGATGAAGCCACTGACGGAACAGTACCTGAGGACCTGACCAACCTCCTGACAGAACAATGACTGAAGATTTGACTAAACACTGATGGAACGATGTTTGAAGACTTGACCAAACACTGATAGAGCAATGACTGAAGACTTGACCAAACACTGACAGAACAATGACTGAAGACTTGACCAAACACTGACAGAGCAATGACCGAAGACTTGACCAAACACTGACAGAGCAATGACTGAAGACTTGAAAAAACACTGACAGAGCAATGACTGAAGACTTGACCAAACACTGACAGAGCAACGACTGAAGACTTGACCAAACACTGATGCAATGATGACTTAAGACTTGACTAAACACTGACAGAGCAATGACTGAAGACTTGACCAAACACTGATAGAGCAATGACTGAAGACTTGACCAAACACTGACAGAGCAATGACTGAAGACTTGACTAAACACTGATGCAATGATGACTGAAGACTTGACTAAACACTGACAGAACTATGCCTGAAAACTTTACCAAACACTTACAGAACAATGACTGAAGACTTTACCAAATACTTACAGAACAATGACTGAAGACTTGACTAAACACTGATGTAACGATGACTGACGATTTGACTACACACTGACAGAGCAATGACTGAAGACCCCTAAATTCCTGCTGACTAACTCAAGCATAAACTCACCTGCTCTAGCAACTCAGGACTGTAACAGTGTAGGCAGTCAAGCGTGTGTAAGGGAAACTCGTGCACTCTCCTCAACCTCCTACCATTCTGAATCATGTTGAGAGAGTTGTGCAGCCCTGATAAGCACACCTGGCCATTCTGTGAGATCATCACATGGCTAGCTTTGATCCCTCTGTGAAACACCAACCAACAAGTTAGCAAAAGGAAAGCAGGTAAAAAGAAATGCTCCTCAAATGTTCAGAGTTGAATTCAGAATCAACATCATAGCACTCGGGACACTCCCATAAGCACCCATTGCCATCTTCAGCAACAGAAAAGTTCCAATTCCTATGGCACCAATAACTGTCTGATGGTACATCTTACCGTTCCCTTGAGTGATGAGTGTCGGCCAGAACCCCTGGTGACTTCCCATAGCACCATTCTCCTCAGACCACAATAATCTATTTGTGCTCTGGCACTGTTCACCAGGATGGGCTGTCCTGGGAAAGTAAAGACAGCCAGCGTAATGCTGACCACATTACCCAACGAGTGCTGATGGTCTGTAAAAATATGGGCGCTCTTCCCATATGCCCGATACACCTGAAGGCATGGAAAGGGATCTTTACTTTTACTTTACTTACTGTTCACTTACTCCCAAAGAGCCCTCACAACATCTAACTTGTCATACATCAAATCAATGCTTCTCAATCCTTACACATGTTGCCCACCCACTGCACTAAAAGTGTCTTCGTAACAGGTTAATGGTGCCCAGTATAACTGTGCCATATGGCTAAATATTTGAACAGGTGTTTCCAGGCTCTTCTCATGCTTGATATCTTAATCCTACAGACAGCAATCCTGATTTGGAAAACTAAAGATTTAAAAAAAAAATTAAAAACACCAGCATACAGCACAAGTGTCTGTCTCGCAAAACCAAGATCAAAATATATAAAACATTGATAAGACCAGTCGTGTTATATGCTCTGAAACTTAGAGCACAACTAAAAGAGATGAAGCCTTATTACTGGTTTTCGAATACAGTCTTATGACGAATCTTTGGACCCATCAAAGATGCAAACAGAGGTGAATGAAGAGTGAGATGCAACAACGAAATTCATAATCTGTTTAAATCACCACTGATCACTGGCATCAAGAGAGCTAATAGACTGAAATGGTTGGGGCATACTGAGAGAATGTCAGATGACAGAAAAGTAAAACTGTATACACCAGCGAGATGAATTGTCATAGACCACGAGGGAGACCAAGAAAACGATGGAGAGATAATATCCAGACAGTCTTGCAAACACTTGGTGTTACCAACTGAAAAGAGAGACGGCCAAACAGACAGATGAATGGAGGCGGCTGATATCAGCAGCAATGAACCACATGGGCTCGGAATGCTGAAGAAGAAGAAGTATACAGCACAAGATTTGTACACGTTTTATTATTAACATTTCAGTACCAGTCCACTTACTATATTTTATTTGCTTCACAATACATCACATGCATTTTTCTGGACTCCTACTATAGTACTCTTTTTATTTAGCTTGTTAACTCACAATATCTCATCATTGTATAAAAAAAACTGTTTTAAATGGTGTACAGTTTCACATTCAGAGAACCTCTAAGCTACATAACCGAACTATATCAAACAAAGTGCATACTAGGACATCATGGAAGCAACAACCTCAATTTTGGTCAAGAAAACAAAATGCACAAGGTTCCAGAAACCAGATGCCATTTTCAAGTATGGGGTACACCAGACTGATGTAACTGGGCATCTATGAGACAGGGTACGCAAAACACTGGGGAGGAAGAAAGATGTGTATCAGCACACATGGTGGACACCTGAAGTCACTAAGGTATGGATAGAGAAACAAAGTGCCACCAAAGAATGTGATAAATGCAGAAAGTCTTCGAGACTGTCTGATGCTCACAAGCAAGCTATGAAAGAAAGAAAATATTACCTCACTGAACACTTTAAACAAACTGCAAGAGAGGCTAAGCAAGCCATACAGGAGACATTTTGCAATGAAATAGGGTGCGAACATTTCTCACAAAATTCTGGCGACTCAACTGGAGTATGAATGGTGGCAAACAATCCTGTGATATGCCCAAATAAAAGATGGACAATAGGTTGATCTTAAATTCTGACCAAAGTGAGGCACTCCTGCACACCAAAAAGACAGACAGAGACAAGAGGAAGCAGATGAAACAAACAGTCCACGACATGCAAATTGCTGAAAATGGATTGAGACCATTTGCAAACACCAGAGAGCCATTCTGAAGACCTGTACCGATAGAGTCTCAGGGCCAGATGGCATAAGATACCTGACTAAAAATGCCTTGATGAAACAGACACAATGGACCTATCTAAAGCATTTAACAAGAGCAACAAACGGCACTGTATCCGATGACTGGCTTTACTGCTTCCTCAGACCCCTTCCTAAGTCTGAGAAAGATTATGAAAAAGTAAATGGTTATAGAATTATCACACTTCAGAACACCATAGGAAAACATATAGAAAATCGTGGCCAGAAAGTTAACCCAAAATTTACAGTCAAGTTGTGTTTGGCACCTACATACACTAAGCAGGTACCACCCTGGCAGAGATACCTGGTGCAATGTTGCATGCAATATGTACGGTTGTCTGCCTAGAGCATTACACACAGCAGAAACTTCAAGATCTCCAACACACCTTCACATTATAAACTGAATGACCTGAGTCTGAAACCAAACCCACATCTTTTAGCGTAAAGGTCAAACAGTTTGACCCCTTCAGTGAAGACCACCCCCCTCCATATTCTCAGTCAGGTGACCCACCTATGGATAATACCTCGTTGATGTATATATTCCACAGCCAGTAAAACTTCCCGCAGGATTAGCTGTATTGCTTGCTCAGGCAATCCTGAGTTGAAGAAAGCATGGATCAGATCTCGGCAAGAACCTGGTGGATGCACAGGGAGTACACATTAAATGTGAGCATGATAACTTGGCTAAGAGCATCCATATAACTGTGACACCAAAAATACATTAAACCTCCCAAGAGTTATATAAATCTTCATCTCAAAATGAGGTCAGACCAGACTCCTATAAGACATTACTCCACAGTAACATAGGCCTTAGAAATGAAACTGTTACACAATTAGAAAGGGTAGATAGCATTCGGCAGTCACACTTCACCGCCCTCACCTGGATCTGCACATTTCAGCATGCCAGAGCTAAAAGTAATGAGCGAGTAAACTAGCTGGCAAATACAGAGGAGAATGGTCGTCTGTGGTGCTGCGAGGAGTTACCAGGGGATCTGGCCGATGCTCAACACTCAGGGAAAGGATGAGACGGATATTCAGTCAGACAGTTACTGGTGCCATCGGAATTGGAACTCTTCACTTGCTGCTGAAGATGGGGACGGAGTACTTATGGGAGTGTCCTGAGTGCTGCGATGTTGATTCTTAACTTAACATTCAGATAAAGATGACAGCATTAATATGATTAAGTTATCGTTGGTTTTCAAGGTTTTCAATTTGGTAATTAGAATATAATGATCAACCATATAGAAGGCTTTCTTGAAGTCCACAAATGTTGCCCCACAAATTTGGCCATTGTTGATATTAAAAAGCCAGTTTTGTCAAGGTGATATGGTAAGACACACTATAAGATGTCCAAATATGCACACGGTCTGATAAAAGTCCTAAAACTGTTCCTGCACTATGTAAGAATATACACTAAAATCTCCTAATATGTACATTTTCTAAAACAGTGCAGACCTGATAACAAGAACTCACTGCAGGCCCAAGAAATGGTCCTTCTCATCAGAAATTCCTCTTATCTGTATAAGAGTTCAAGCCAGAAAATTTGCTGGGGATAAATTGTTTTTCACAACAGAAATTTGCCATATCTGAGATCGCCTTGAGTTGCCTGGACTATATAAGTTTTTAAAGTGAAATGGTGACAACACGCTAAAAATTAAACAAACATGCCTGTATGTGTACGTACACTGAGGCAACAGAAAAGTCTTAAAACTGGTCACATACTAAGAAGACAAACTGACGTGTCTTACTGCTGCGTACATACCAAAAGCCATCAGTGGCATGACCGCCCATAACTCCTGGCCATTGATGAAGCTGCAGTAGAATGGCAGGAGATTGGGGTGGGACAGCTGCTGTGTCAGGATGATTTCATTCTAGGAGAGATAAATCATATGGCGTGAATGACATGGGCATGTTAAGTAGCTTGCCTCCCTTCCTCCCTCTCCCTCTTCTCACGATAGAACTCTGTCTCTCCCTCCTCTCCCCTCTCTCTTGCCTTCACTCCCCCCCCCCTCTCTCTCTCTCTCTATCTTATCAGAATAAAGCTCTCTTTTCCTGTCTCAAAAGAAAACTCCCTCTGAGAACAAAAGAACAAATAGAAGTTTGCTCTCCAACCTACCAGAACAATGTACACTATCTCTCTCTCTCTCTCTCTCTTGCCTTCACTCTCTCTTTCCCCTCTCTCTCCATCTTATCAGAATAAAGCTCTCTTTTCCTGTCTCAGAAGAAAACTCTCACTCTCTGAGAACAAAAGAACAAATAGAAGTTTGCTCTCCATCCTACCAGAACAATGTACACACTCTGTTTTAGAACAGAGCTCTTTCTCCCTCTCTCTTTCTGTATGTACTTCCATTCCCTCTCTCTTAAGCAAACAGCACTCGGCTCCTGTCTTACAGCTCTCTCTCTCTCTCTCTCTCTCTCTCTCTCTCTCTCTCTCTCTCTCTCTCTCTCTCTCTCTCTCTCTCTCTCTCTCTCTCTCTCTCTCTCTCTCTCTCTTTCTCTCATATGCAAACATGCAAATAAATATGAATATTTCCATTCCTGAAAGAAAGAAAAAAAAAAGAAGGAAAAACCGAAAACAGACTCTACACAGACCTGCAAATAGGATAACTCCCCATCCCAAACTTCCAGATTGATTCTCTTGACAGAGACCAGCGTGCCCGAGGGAACATGTCTGGTTAAGGAAATGCTGGATGTGTTGGAGTGACCTTTCCCTAAGGATGATAAAATATACATATCAGAAAAGCCAGGCTATAAATCAGTTCATACATTATTCTCCCAACTATGGAAGACTGTTCAACATTCAAAATAAATTTCCTACACTTTTGTCCAAATCCAGAATAGGCACCAGACATGTTATCCATGGTCTTCGCCTTCGTCATCA